AAATGGCAATTTATCGAGTCCATTTTTATTTATCATACGATGATTGAATTAATTGCTTATCGCAACAGGCACACAATAAAACAGTGGAAATAAACATGTGTTTGACTTTCATTAGTGAATGAAACTGTGTGCCCTTTATAGTCTGTGTCCAATATTGTGTATTTGTATATATTGTATATATATCCTATATATATGCTATGGTCCCGCTGCTGACACGATAGCAGTCATTTCGTGCGCATATGTGTAATCAAACCCATGATATCAAAATTTCACTCCAGCCAGGTGCCCAAAGTTGGCAACCCTGACTATTGTTATATTTCGCGTTGCTCTATCTTGACTTGTTTTTTTATGTCTTCAGGATATTGTATGTTGTAGCCTACTTTTGGAGCAGCCTGGGACTTCAGATATTAAATGCCAATCTGCGCTGTAGCTATTGTATTTGACAATAAACCTTTGAATCTTACATTTGTACAAGCTCACGAGAGTTTAGCTTTTGTATGACAAAATTAATGTACTGCATTTTTCACTTAACAGGTCAATCATTCACAGGCTTTGAACAGCAAACCAACATCTCCATGGATTGTGGTGCAGGAGGACGGGACAGTGGTGATGGCGCATTGTACATGCATGGCAGGGTTAGGAGAGGTTTGTTCCCACGCAGCAGCACTTATGTTTACAGTTTTGGCTGCTGTTGAGAAGAGAGAAAACCAGACATGCAGAGAGAAGCCATACACATGGACACAGCCTAGCACTAAAATGGTGAAGTACGATGAGGTGTCTAACATCTTCGCCATCAAAGAACAAGTTTAAACCGAAGACCTGTTTCAGCATATGCTGATGATTTCAAGTTATTCTGTGAACAACTCCACCAAAGTGAAGAACAAGAGACAAAGCCCAAGAAAAGTGCTATCCTGTCGGTCATTGAAGGCTATTCCCACAGATATCTCAATCTCAATCTTTATTTATTTATATAGCACATTTAAAACAACCTTCAGTTGACCAAAGTGCTGTACAGGCAGTAACTACAATATTAAATAACACAATGGGAGTACAATAATAAAACAATAATTAAAAACATAATAAAAAGCACAATAACTAGAAACATATACAAAATAAATAAATAAAAAACACATACAAATATAAAAATGTAATGTTCAACTAGTATTAAAAGCCAGTGCAAAGAGGTGAGTTTTTAGCTGAGATTTAAAAAGTTCAATAGACTCAGCAGTCCGGATATGTGCTGGGAGGCTGTTCCACAGTCTGGGAGCTGCAGCACTGAAGGCCCTGTCACCTCTGGTTTTTTTCCTGCTCCGAGGAACCACCAACATATTCTGCTGAGCTGAGCGCAATGCTCTAGCTGGAGCATGGCGGTGCAACAACTCAGACAGGTAATGTGGTGCCAGTCCATGCAATGATTTAAAAACAACAAGTAAGTACTTGAACTGGATCCTGTAACTGACAGGAAGCCAATGAAGGTCTGCCAAAACGGGTGTGATGTGGTCATAACGTCTCTTCCCAGTAAGAAGGCGTGCAGCCGCATTTTGGACCAGCTGCAGGCGACGGATCAAACACTTGTCAACACCAATATAGAGGGAGTTACAATAGTCTAAACGAGACGTTATAAATAAGTGGATTAGCTGTTCAAATTCCTTACTAGGAAGATAGGCTTTTACCTTCCCCAGAAGCCGCAGCTGGAAGAAGCTTGTCTTGACAACTGAGCTTATCTGTTTATCAAATTTAAAACAGTTGTCAAAGATGACTCCAAGATTTCTGACAGAGGGACGGCTGTAGGAGGCTAAGGGGCCGAGTACACTATTAAAGCCATCCAGGAGTTCAGACTGTCCAAATATTATAATCTCTGTCTTGTTTTCGTTGAGAGTCAAGAAGTTGATTTCCATCCATGATTTAATGTCTTTCAGACAGCTAAGCAAGGCAATCCTAGATTCCTTATTTGCTTTTATAGGCAGGTATACCTGCAGATCATCTGCAAAGCAATGGTAAGAAATGTTATGTTTTTTAAAAATTGACCCCAGAGGTAGTCAATACAGACTGAACAACATGGGGCCTAGGATAGAGCCTTGTGGGACCCCATATGCTAGTGGGGCTGCAGCTGAAGAATACTGGCCAAGATGCACAGAAAAGGTCCTTTCTGACAGATAGGATTGAAACCATTTTAGGACGTTACCTTTAATACCAACACACAGTTCAAGGCGTGATAAAATAATTTGGTGGTCAATGGTGTCAAAAGCAGCAGACAAATCTAAATCATTCTTCATCACCATAACCCTGACCTAAATACGGTGCTTTTCTACAGATTACTTTATTACTGCACTGGTAAGGTAAAATTAGGCCGATTAATAAGATGTGAAGTACATTGTAACTTCGACCCGCTTGACTGAATACACAACAAACAATGAAGAAAGAGTTTTATTTGGGCTGTTTCGCTGCCAGCTGCTCTCCCGGGACCCGAAAGTGGCGTATAGCCTGCACTTCAACATCAACGAAAGTGCTCGATATATGCTATATTGAACCAATAACACAAACTAACTGTATCACTATAACATGATGATGATGGTGATGGTGATGAAGAATGCATCCAACGTTCCGCTGTTCATTATAATACAAAAACAGAGCATTAAACAAACCATCATGCTCTTACTTTGAAATCATGCTGAAATGTCGTCATCAGCAGGCCATCACGTGGTTTCCGAAAATAACCGAGTGACACGAGTAGATTTTAGCCGAGACCGGCGGAAAATATGTCTCAAAATTCCGTGTGTGTAAAAAGACAATCCGCGAACAGAGATTTGAGATCCGTGAGCAGAGATTTGAGATCCGCAAGCGCATTTTTGGTCCACAAATACAAAATGGATTCACAAATGCCTGATCGAAAGGTGTAAATGTTAAAGAGATATTCACAGATCTTTTTTTAATTTGTGAACATATTTAGCGTATTTGCAGATCCGTTTTACACTTGCAAATGTATTTGTGAGTTTGCAAATCTTTTAAATGCATTTGTGGATGTTGTTTTACATTTACAAATCACATATTTACACACAAATTATTTTTATGTTCACACAAATAATTATGAGACATATCTATGCCCATACACAAGCACACTTTTATTTCCATGCAACTCTCTGATTGGTCTGGTGTCTTGCCTCTGTTGCATTCACTGAACACAGGAAATTACAGTCCTGCCGTCCTCTCGAGTGTCATGATGAGGTTCACGTAAAGCACGGTTAATGTATTATATTATTGAGGTAGAATTGTCCGGTGCTACAGAAAAAACATTCGGGGCAGGCCAAAATATTATTTTACCAACAATGTGGAATTTATTGGCCACATATTACACAGATTATGCACAGCGGGAGCAGCAATAACCGTCAAATAATAATTCAGACAGGGGAGCTCCGCACCCCCTGCCTGCCGCTAGGGGGTGCTGCAGCGCCCTTAGCACCCCCCTTCCCGCGCCCATGCACGTCTCCGTCAGAAACATAAAGTCCAAATCCCGGAATTTAAAAAAGTCATTAAGCAGGAAAGCAGATACACGCCAAAGACTGTACAACTGGATCTGCCAACACCCCTTACCAGTCTGTATCAAAGCAGCAGACTTGTACTGGATTTGCCTGCACTGCTAGAGGAGGGTGCCAAAGTCTTTGAGGAGCTGAATCTCACACCAGAGCAGGTAAGAAATAGAAATGGCTTACGGTAAAATAAAAGCGTGTCACAATGCTAAATCCTAAACATCACTAAATTCATTAAGAATAACTTCACTGCTTTCTGATAATTACAGCTCTTTTGATAGTCCAATTCTTTTTGAGTGTTTGTTAGTTGAGGAGAAGACCAGGAAACAGAGTAGGTCGAGGGTCTGGTTTGAGCAGAGAGCAGGGAGAGTTACTGCGTCATCCTTCCATGAGGCAGCCAAGACAGAGAGCTCTTCGTCTTTGATTAAAAGAGTTTGCTATCCTCGCTCCTCTCAGTTTTCCACTGAAGCGACCAGGTATATATATATTTAGGCAGCAAGACTAAATCATACATTCTTTCCACTACTTCATGATGAATAAATACAATAATTGAGTAACTAGATATTATGAGGGTAAAACAAGATATTAACATTCTAATAACAGTATTTTAGGAATTTTTTTAAGTGATGAGTTTTTTTCCAAAATGTTCAAAATAACATGTTCTTTTCCTCAGATGGGGTTTACAAAACGAGGACACTGCCAAAAAGTCTTACCTGGTGGCTATGCAAGATCACCATGAAGACATCAATGTTGCAGCATCAGGGCTCATCCTCAACCCAGAGCTGCCATGGATTGGTGCATCCCCAGATGGTGTCGTGACCTGTGCTTGCCATGAGCCTGGCATTTTAGAAATTAAGTGTCCTTTCAGCGCTAAAGACTGCAGTCTACTTGAATGCACCAAAGACTTGCGGTTCTGCCTGACCGTCCCTGAGGGAGGTGTGATGAGCCTAAAGCTGAATCACAGCTATATGTGCAAGTGCAGGCACAAATGCGTGTCGCAGAGGTAATGTTCTGTGATTTTGTTGTGTGGACACCTCAAGAACGTTTTAAACAGCGCATCATGTTTGATGGCGCATTTTTGATGTTGCACATTCAAAGGTGGTAAACTTCATTAGAACGGGGATACTACCAGAGTTGTTGGGTAAATGGTTTACCGTGCCACGCTTCTCCCCCACTGCAACCTCTGACAAAACATCTGAGGGACATTAAGAAGCTGACAATAAATAAGCTCACTGGTCTTTTTCTTTTGTCTTCATGGTCAGGTTTTTGTTTACCCATTAAGCTTACATATTCATATACTGTAGATTGTGCAATAAATAACTGTATCTAATACTTGCAGATGCATTGTAGTATAAGTAGAAGTATTTAAAAAACCTCAAAGAACAAATACTTGGAAAAAGAGATGTTTATTAGTTCAAAACTGGACATTTTAATGTATTAATTGTAAAGATAATAGAGAGAAGATCCATCATACATAGAAAAGGGAATACACAATAAGCATTTTGTTTCATTTAGCTGACGCTTTTATCAAAAGCGACTTACAAATAGTATCTATCTATTCTGTGGGTACCACAGATGGGCAGACATTATAAAGAGCACAGCAAACTGCTACCATCTTGTCAAGGGAAGTAGGTTGTCCTTGAGTGGCTGCTTGGCAAAGAGACAGCGGGATGGTGCTCTGAAGGATGGTGGATTTGTTCCTGACCAGGCCAATGACTCTTTCCACATGGATCCTGACGGCAGCGAGTCCCCTTGTGGATTCAAGTTCCAGTGGATGCAGCTGCTGCTTGCCTTTGGTGAATGCTGGTATTTTCAACTGTGCATTATACAGTCCCACCGTGTCTTTCACATTGAAGCCTCTATCAGCAAGAACAACATCTCCTGGTGATCATTTCTCAAGATATGAGCAGTTTTCTGTAATGTACTTGTCGCTTGTGCGTCAAGCCCTTTGACACCCTGTGGTGTTATAGAAATGAGATATTTGACAGTGTTGTGGTGCTTGTAACAGGAGTATGTTTGTGCACGTGCCCTTACATTCTTTGGCTTCTCTACACACATTTCAAAACAGTCAATGCTGGAAGTGCAGTTGCTAAAATTATCCCTGAAACACATGGGCAGACTAACCTGAATTTGATCTTTTGAGGGCCAAAATATAAGTGGTGACAGTCTGACATACATGACATCTAAAGTATTGTTGAACATTCTGACAACACTGCTCTTAGACATATGAAAAAGATAAACAAAAAAATATAAAGGTAAGTTAAGCCTCATTCTCATCAATGTTAATATAAAGCTATGAAAGGGAGTCAGTCTTGGACCGGCTTTCACAAACCCAGACAGGAAGCCAAAAACAACCATCATTTTAGCATAGCTTGGTAGGCCTGTTAGTTCATTATTTCCTTTGAAGGCTTCTTCATTGAAAGACAGCACATTAACTTTGTCCTTAAGGCAATTAACCTCAGCTCTTAATAGTGCACACTCGTTTGTCAATGCCTTGACTGTAGCTTGGCAGGCTGCATTTGAGCATGGCTCCACAATACCTGAGCTAAGAATGGCTTGAGAGTAACTGTGGTCATCTTTCACACATTCTACCTGTTCAACTAAGGTGATGTCAAGCCCAGTGGCATCACTGGTGCTGGAAGGTGCCACAGTCTCATGGTCACTATCAGGAACCAAAGTCTCAGTCCGTTTCCTTTTCATCTGCTGAGTATGCTCAAATCTGCTGGTGGCATAGATGCTTCTCTGCAGCTGTCCAGCTGACGTGTGCGCAAACAGGCTGGGGATGTAGTCAGGGCTCATGGGGTTGTCATTTTTTCTTCCTAAGCAGACAGAGGCAAACATGGTAGAATATTAATGTGTGTATAGGCCTCCTAATAAGATAATGACAAGAAGTATTACGATCCTTAACTTAAGTAAAAGTAGCAATAATACATGTAATATAAATACACAAGTAATTTAAGGCATGCATTCAATAATATTGAGAACGGCAATTTCTTTCTCAGTTTTCTCCCAGAAATGTGTCTTTTATTCAAATGCAGTCGGTTTCAAGCGTAAAGGAACACAGAGCAAAACTAATGCAGTCCTTTCAAAACTGGGAATATTTTACTCGTGCTATGTTACCAACATTACCGTTATGTTGCTAACGGTAATTATTATTCGGCAACTAAATTATCTATGTTGAAGTATTTTGAAAACGTATTTCTGACAAAAAGATAACAATAAGTGAAGAGCTTACCGGAAACCAAGTGTTGACTGCACAATCTGGAGTTAGATGTCGGCTGCCAGTGGTCCCTTCTGGTGGCAGCCATCTATTTATTACGACGGTCTAACCCCCAAAACACACCAGGAGCGTCTGCGTCGTGTTACGGCCGCGGCGGTCGTAAGGATCGCGGCCACTCTAGTCAATGGGTGCTATTACACCACACGCGCCGCGGTACGGCTCAGACGCGTCCCAGAAGCGGCTCGGCGCAGCGCTTCTCTAAAATTAGGATGAATCCTATTTTTGCCGCGGCGCAGCCGTAAGGTAAAGTTGGGCAGGCAGCCCCCCCCTCGCAGGAAGTGGAAAGGTGAGCATCCGGGCCAGGCCCATCCCCCACATATACTAATTTAGCAGACCCCACAACACCTCCACTACGAAACGCACCATGGACGACGAGGTGTTCATAATGGAAGTGGAGAAACACACAATTTTATATGATGTAACCAATGCTTTTTACAAGGACAACATCAGAAAGGACAAGCCCTGGTTTTTAGTCGCTGCAGTTTGTGGAGTGGAAGGTAACAACTACATATTAAAGTTAAAGTTTTCAAGTAGGAGAATACATGCCAGCGTTCTCCTCCGGTTTACAGGCACTGTAAATGATATATATATATATATAGAATAATTATGATGATGAATGCATATTTTTTTACCACTAAAATACAGCAACACATCTTTGATTCATGTCGTTTATAACTGGAATATTACAATTATATATATATATAGCCATTTGGCGTTGTGTACAGGACGGTCCTGTATATAGCCACTCCCGTCTACAACACAACAAAATAGGAAATAACAACAATAATCACGATTTAAACAGACACAAACTAAACCATTTAACTACGTATAGCCTACTTACTTGTAGAAGTACAAATGTCCAGGAAATATTCTAAAATCAACAACAACTGCGAGGCTGCACACACGACGCTCCGCTTCCGCAACGTTTTGAAACGCGTCTGGTGTGTGTTGTCGCAGGAGGAGGTCGCAGCGTGGCGCAGCCGCAACGTAACACGGCGCAGACGCTCCTGGTGTGTTTTGGGGGTAAGTCTTTGGGGATCGATACAAATTGTAGTCCGGGGTTTCTCTGGCGACTATTGTCACAGCCCACATCACAACAAATCCCAGGCATATCCACAAACTTTATTATTCACGATGTGTCTTTCTCTGTTGCTTCCTCCGTGTTCTCTGTTGTTGTAATGACTTGCTGTGACCGGACACCAAAATGGCGGCGCTAGAATACAGTGACGTCACGTGGTACCCAAGATTATCTTTCGATCCCGTTTGAATTGTGCCACGAATTACCAGTGGTGAACCGTCAGGGCCTTCAAGGTATTCAGAGAATACCCTGGAACACTCAGATAAAACAAACAAAAATGAATAAATGAGAATCATATCTGTGTTGTTGATCTGTAATATCACAGTGTTACGTTGATTTGTTTGTCCTTCTCAGACCATGCACTACGCATTTCAGTGGTTTTGTGTTAGAAAAGAAAGCAACCAGTGGCGAAGTCCCTCCCCTTCCGGTGGACCTCCATGGGACCTTATTTCGGAAAAGATCATTTAAAAGATAATTTTGCAAGTCAAAAAAAAAAAAGTGTCGTAAAACTGTGAAGTAACACATTTGTTTGTGTGAAACTCTCAATGAACTACATCTCCGGTCTAGCACAACAACACACGTCACCAAGATGGCCGCCACTACTGTCTTGTCAACAGAAGGATTGACTACCCTCACTATCACTACAATGAAACACGTCCAGAAGAATGTCATGCAAAGCTGCCTGCTTGCCTTCCTTTGATTCTCTCTAAACTGCCTGGTCTTTTTCATGTTTAATGTCAACCATTTGTGCAGATAGCATGAAGTAGAAAAGATCGCAGATGCTAATGTAGCGTTAGCATTTCTCCCCCGGGCTTAAATTGTGTATTATAGAATGATCACACCGGTGTGACAGTACTCTTCAAAGGGTTCACGAAATATGACTACCACTCTTACTGTTTAACATGTTGGGTTACTTGATGTTACTTGATGTTAAGGCTAATAAAAATGACAAGGCTGTAATGCTAACTAACGTGCTAGCTACTAGCTAGGTAGCTAACTTGATCCAGCCACTCCTGGTCCTTTCATCAGACGGGAAGCGAAAGAACGAGCAAGACCCATTGCTGGTATGATAACAACCTGGTACTAAGCACACAGGCATCTTGTTAAAGTTATCTTATCTTAGCCAGCGCCATATAGATAGATTCTATCTATATGGCGCTGATCTTAGCTATCTCTTAGTGGAGGAAAACAATTGTGACATCACTTAGGCGACTGGGATTTGTAGTCTTTCTAGTTGCGTATTTTTCATAGTCTTATATTTCAACAGTTTTACGACAAACTGTGACTTTTTTGACATGGAAATTATTTTTTAAGATTGACAAACATCATATGTGTAATTCATGGCACAATTCAAACGGGATCGAAAGATACGTTTTCTCTCTTCATTGACTTCAATGCATCATTTTTCCGAAATAAGGTCAATCTTAAAAAATCATTTCCATGTAAAAAAAGTCACAGTTTGTCTTAAAGGCATGGAGGCATGGAGGTCGTGGAGGGATGGCAGATTGCAGCCGATCACCCTCTCTGCAGAGCGGATGACACGCTGCAGCCTGCCCTTATCCTTGGCTGTGGCTGCAGCGTACCAGATGGTGATGGAGGAGTTGAGGATGGACTCCATGATGGAGGTGTAGAAGTTCACCATCATCGTCTTTGGCAGGTTGAATTTCTTCAGCTGCCTCAGGAAGAACATCCTCTGCTGGGCTTTTTTGGTGAGGGAGCCGATGTTCTGCTCCCATTTGAGGTCCTGGGCGATGATGGTGCCCAGGAAGCACACAGAGTGGTGGGGGTGGGTGGGGCTGCGTTCTTCCTAATGTCCACGACCATCTCCACTGTCTTGAGAGCGTTGAGCTCCAGGTGGTTTTCCCCACACCAGGTCACCAGATGGTCCATCTCCCACCTGTAGGCAGACTCGTCCCCACCAGAGATGAGTCCGATGAGCATGGTGTCGTCTGCACTTCAGGAGCTTGACAGACTGGTGACTGGAGGTGCAGCTGTTGGTGTACAGGGAGAAGAGCAGAGGGGAAAGAACGCAGCCTTGAGGGGAACCGGTGCTGATGGTCCGGGGGTCAGAGACGTGTTTCCCCAGCCTCACGTGCTGCTTCCTGTCAGACAGGAAGTCTGTGATCCACCTGCAGGTGGAGTCGGGCACGTAGGGGGTATAGGGGGTACATATTAGCGGCAATAGCGTGAAAGCTTAAAGGTCCAAACGCTTTAGGGCTTTCAAAGCAGGCGTGTTAAAATGGTACTTCCACATATTAATGTGAACACCGAACTACACATTTTGGTGCAATCTGTGTTTCACATCAGGGGGTCATTAAATATAGCCAAAAATATTTTGTTCCTTCTTAGTTGTTCTATATAAATAAAACATTATTTAAACTACAGTCAGACCTGGACAGCAAAACCTTTATCTTTTAAGTTATAAATTATCTAAATTGAATCATCAGAAACTTACAATATCTTTACTACTATGCATTTTGTATCCAGCAGACCACAGTGGTCTCCCCCTTTGCTTGGTACAGTGGTATGTTCCAGGGATGTTGGTTGAGTCCATGCAGTGACTCAGCCTACATGCAGACTGTGACTGTCAGCAGGACAGAGACACAGATCACTCAGAGATCACAGCTGATCACAGAGGATGGCGGCCCAGCAGAAAGGAGATCTATCATCAGCAGAGAGGAAGATCCTGCAGGTCATCGCTGCAGGTGAGTACTGGTTGCTTTTATTACACTTTAAGCTTCATTCACTGTGTTTCACACAAGCTTATATAACTTCCAATTAATTTGGTTAGGACCAAGTTGTTCATGACAAACCCACTCACTTAAAGTATTTTTGTAGCAAGAAATTGTCCAAACTTTTACGTCATTTTTGAATATTTAAAAAAAGTTTTCTGGATACAGTTTGTTTAATATACAAACAGCTAACGTATTACAATATGACTTATAAAGTGTTCAGTGTACATATGAAAAATCGAATCTATAATAATAAATAAAAAAAGAATTAATATTCAATTTACCTATTTTTATAGAAAGATATTGATTTCCGTGTATTGGTACCGGATTATATATATATTTCCAGGAAACATAAAAGGGTTATTACTCAGAAATGTCAAAGCCATAAAATAAACGCTTAACCAAAATTCTTTATAACAACATTATATATTTGGTGTAGGAATTGTGTTGATGGCGCTGGTGCAATCTCCCTGCAGTTCTGAGTTTTCTCACTTAATGTCCACAGGTTCATGTTTACTATAGAAACTTCTGTTGTACAGGTGACGTACAGGAAGCTGCCCAGCTGCTGGCCAGTGAAGAAGTACGAGTCAACTGTTTGGATGAGGTATGAAAGCAATTTTTATACGTTTTTAGTTGAAGTATTTTACAAACAGTATTTATTTTGTTGCCAAATGTTCTTAAGCTTTCAAAGCTAAGAAAACAGCTAGTGTTTAACATCAAACAACCCGGTCAAAGTCAAAAAATAACTTTCAGGTTCCACTAAATAATATATTGAAGTAAATAAAGTATATACCTAGAAATGTTTCCATAAGGACCAGTCCACCGAAAGCATCAAAAGTGCAGATTTTTCATAACCTTTCCTAACTGTGACTTTAGACACTAAAAAGTCCTTCCTGCTAGCACGTGTTGTCTTGTACCACTGTGATATGTATTTTGATGAAGTACATTTTTTCAATCAATTGACCCAAGGTTGAGAAACTCTTCCACAACCTTTAAAAAAAAACAATATATACTTAATATATCCTTCCTCCATCCACAATGCAACAGTTATGTCACTGTAACATATGTTATCCATTGTGATTGGGACATATGGAGGTGACTATTGAGAGGCAGACCCTTGAAGGTGTTTGATAAAGCTTCACGCCACTACAAGTAGCTCACAGACCCTTTGTACTGCCTGTCTGTCAGAAGCAGGTGTTCACACACTCCCCCACACACACTCCCCTCACACACAAACACAGGCACCAAAGTGTTCCTGGGTGTGATGTAAGGCATATGTTTTTGATTAAATCTTAAAATGTGCACTTCTGCCTGCAGGATTATCTTATCAAGGACCTGTTGCATATCAGGGTCCTGCATTCTGACAAGTCAAATTAAATAATTAAATTCAACATTTTGTGGTTGTAAAATAAAAATAATCATTATTTGTATCTTAAATAATAGACAATTGAATATGTTGGGGTTTTGCAGGGCCTGGTATTTAATTCATATTTATTTGTAACCTTATACTATCCATTTTTTATTTCAAATATTTCCATCATTGGTATGTTTAACAAACTTAAAGGGGACCTATCATGCAAAATGCACTTTTGTACGTCTTTTATACATGAATATGTGTCCCCGGTGTTCCAGAGAACTCACCAAGTGTCAGAAAACACAACCCTTCTCTATTTTCCTCCTTACCCAAATCACTAAAAACGGATCTGATAAAAACTGATCCAGATTTGAACACGGTCCTGACGTCAGGACGGTGGCGCTACGGCTATTGGGCCAACTCTCCACCTATCAGGGAAATGTGGGGTTAGGCCACGGCCGGCCATTGCCGCTCGAAAGCGCTGGAGACGCTGTAGTACATATGCCAGGCCTGTAAGTGGCGCTGTAGTCTGCCACAAAAGTAGCGAAGAAGACTTCCCGCGCATGGTTGCCATGGTTGCCCTTCTGTTTATTCTCCGCTGTGGCTCTTTTTCTCCCTCCCAGAGGCAAGCGTTTGCTCCCGCTGCTGTGCAATCCCTCCCCGTCGAGGCAAGCACTGTAATTCTCTCCGGTTAGTCCACCAGCAGATGACAAACACCCACCTCTCCGCCTCTTCCAAGGAACGAGGGACCGTACGGCAGAGTTTCAGTTTCTTTCGCCGGTCAAGATGTCCGTTAAAGTTTAAATCTTCCGAATTTAGAAAAGTGCCGGTCAAAGGTCTTTTTTGTTATTTATTGAGCTTTAAAACAAATGAATAATGACTCTATATAATAATATTATAAAATACGGAGGACGGAGATCTATTTTTCTCCCCGTCTTCTGACTTCAGAGTTACGCTCCCCTCTCCTGCAGGGGGGCGTGGTCAGCTGCAGCTCACAGAATCAGCCTCCTGCAAAAAACAGGGCTGGAGAACAGCAATAGAGCGAAAAGAGGCATGGCTAAAATGCATGATCTGTTTGGTATTTTGAAAACAGAAACGTATAAATATACCTTATATAGGTATGGCCCTACAATATATCATTTTTAGATTAGATTAGATTAGATTAGATTACTTTATTGTCATTACAAAAATGCAAGCACAGTGTAACGACATTTAAGGAAGGTCTAACCAGAGTGCAAAACAGTCAGGTACATACACAATTATCAGAAGTATGTACAAAATAAATGATACAAAAATAAAGGTAAATAGATGGGAAATGTATAAATAGGAATAAATACACAGATAATAATAAATACAGTGAATACAAAATTGCGCTTCAGCACAGCACACGACAACAACTATGGCAGTATGGGACAGCGTGGGATTCATTGTCAGCAGTCTGACTGCTGAAGGGAAGAAGCTGTGCGTGGTCCTGTTTGTTCTACCCGAGAGGCTGCGGTAGCGTGTCCCAGAGCGGGTGCCACGTAGGGGGATAAACAGTGGTTGGGGTGGGAAGAGTCTCTGATGATGTTTCGTGCCTTTTGCAGGCACCGCTTTTCATAGACTGAGGCTATGGAGGGGAGTGGCATCTTGATGATGCGTTGTGCGATCTTCACCACCCTCTGCAGTGATTTATTGTCCTTGACCGTGCAGTTACCGTACCATACTGATATGCAGGTGGAGAGGATGCTCTCGATGGTGCAACGGTAGAAGTTCATTAGCACCTGGGAGGATAGGCGGAGTTTTGCCAATTTCCTCAGGATTGAAATATAGCATGATAGGTGTCCTTTAAGATAAATAAAGTAGATGCTTAAAGTGTCTGGAATAAAACATGTGGGAGTGATATTTATTGTGTTGTATTAACAAACCACACTTAAACTTGGTGTATTAAGTCTATTATAATACTCTATAATATTAGGGTTTTCTTAAATCTGGCTACGTCCATTACTTTATACTGGGGGATTCTGCAAAGAGGGGGTCACCAGCTGCATTATACTGAATCAGATAATAATGAATAAATTACAATAATTACATTTTTCAAAAAATTAAATTCAAACATGACCATCTGCCTAGCTAACAATAAAATACTCCTTACATGTTAATGCATCCGTTATCAGTTAATTAATAATAATAATAATAATAATAATGATGTTAATAGAATTCTTATAATTTTTTATTAACTAACTGATAACTGAATTTAGCAGCCATATCTTTCAGACGGTGGAGACCAAATCAAAGCTAAAAGACAAAGATATTTATCATGTGGACACAAACACAAAGACTCCAAATGAATTATGTTGTTCTGTGAAGGCTGAATGTGTAAGTCAACAAATGCTTCTGAACATGTTAACCATATGAACTTTATATATATGTAATCAGTGGCGTAACAAGGTTGTGATTGGCCCCGGTGCAAATATTGTTTTTGGCCAAACATTTAGGGTTTTTCCTTAATCTACCAGGCGCTACAGTGGAATTTTCTACTGCAACACTCCCCACACGCACATACACAATACATATGTGATCCGCTCTATCGAAATCAGTCGGAAGTCGCAATGGCTCATTTCAAAATAAACGAGGATTTGTGTAAACAAATAGTTTTTCGGGGTTCGGGTGTTTTGTTTGATTTTAAATAAACAAAGTCTTGGCTTTCACAATATGAAACTTTTATTTATAAAATCACACGATAAATACTGTACATGTTTGAAGCTTGTAAAGGGAAGATGACAGCTCGCCACTCTGCTGTTCCGCAGCGCTGCTTCCCCTCCCTCCGGCTGAAATTATGAATGTAAGGCGTATAGTAATCATAGCAGCGGCGCCGGATTCATTTCAGAAGTGGGGGGGGCAAAAAGTGTATGTGACATACTTGCCAACCCTCCCGATTTTCGCGGGAGACTCCCGTTTTCCTCCCGGGGTCATATTTATCCCGCATTTCTCCCGATTTCTGACTAAATCTGATTTGTTTCATTCTAACATAACGCACCAAATGTTACTGTTTCCACTCGGACTTCAATACAGCTACACCATTGTTTGGTTTCCATGGTAACGCGTCTCTTTAGTAGCGCACGCAACTGAGAGTCTGAGAGGGTCTTCAGGAGGAAGATAGTCAGAGAAAACAGAACAAGAATGGACAACTCAACCCTCTGCTCACTCCTTTCCTGTACATTCAACTATACAGACCAGCCCACACATATGACAGCGCAGTTGCTCATGCCATCTCTTCTTTTTTCCTGCTACGCTCTTGTTTGACAAGCTGAATGTTGACTGGTGTTTGACTGAAGTAAGCTCTGTGAAAAGTTCCAGTTATTAACTCGGTATTTACAAAGCTGTCATCTCCACATTTGGAGAAAGTTACAAGCCGTTTGACAGCAGCACATCTGCATATTTCACAGAAGGCTCGTTTAGTGGTTTTGCAAATAAATAACCACTCTCTGTTTTTGTACCATTCTGCATTGAAGTACCTTCTCTTTGCCCAAATAAGCTTTTATTTGCCCGTCACAATGTCCCGACAACAAACCTCCATGCAGTCGGAACCAGCCTGTTTCGGTTCAACGATGCCGGCGGCGGCGGTTTTGACAGCCTCTGCGGCCGCAGAGCTGCTGCTGGGGTTCATCTGGCTGCGCTGGTTCTATGGTTGAAGGACCAGGCTCCGGAGTTGTGGATGTCAGGGATGTGACATTCAAGTTGTTGAATTTCAGCTTAGTTTGACTGTATTTTGTTTTCTTATGCGCCGGTTCTTCTGACATGTTTGCAAGTTTATCTATCTAGGTTAACGGCTGACACACACTGAACAACGTAACACATAACGTAATAAATAACGTAAACAACGTAACAAATAAACAAATAAACAAATCTAAGCTTTTTTTATTGGTTGTAATTTACATGGATACATTTGAATGGTGTGACTATGTGATTGGATTACAATGTACATATTCTTCCTGTTATGTCTGCCTGCTGTATTTTACCTAATGCAAAGTGACCTTTTTTCGGGGCGGTCACACTTTCTTCAGAATTATTATCCTGAGATGTTTGCATTGTCGTGTACATTTTACGCTGGACATGTTTTGGAAAACTGGTGCCGTACGGCGAACCTGTGTAATCTTGTAAAAGGAGTGGCGGAGTGCGAGGAGTGGGGGTCAATAGCGGACTGCCATGTGAAACATTCCCCTCCTCCGCTGCTGCACTCTGCTCGGCGTGTGCCGATTCTAATTTTCTATATTGTTCTGTCTGATATCTCAACCCATTTTTATTCATGATAGCTGCAGCTGTCATTAACAGATCATCATCGGAGTTTCTCGCAACGGGATTTGAGAGTTCTGTCGCGGGAATTATTTTCGTACAGAGAGATACAGCCTGCTTTCCGTCCAACAGCCCTGCGTCTGTCAAAATACAAATGAGCTGAGATGGGGTTGGAGTTTTACCTTGTCGTTTAATCCAATCATAAAATACTGATTTTGCAATGTCTGGAACATTCTCACCGTGTCTTTCCCTGAATCTGGACATGTTTTCTGATCTTACATCAAAAGCAGCCTCTAGGCTAAGCAAATGACAACTTTTTGCACATTGAGAAACTTTATCAAAAAGCGCCTTGAGCTCAATGGAGCCTCGCTCGCTGCCAACAGATTTAGCATTCTTCCGCTCCTCATAACCTCTTTTTTCTGCCATAGTCATCCAGGCTTTCACACATTCTGTCATGTATTTCTGATCCCATGAACAATTTGAATTATCTTCCACCAGTTTAAATGCTTGCCACAACACGGCCATATCAAAACTACCTGTCAGAGGCCAATCAAATTGAATCAATCCTTTCTGATTAATCTGTTGTGAGTGTTCGCAAAGTAACGATGTAAACGGCATAACTTTAGACCAATCCAAAGTTCTTCCGACAATTCCAGACGGCATGTTTGGAGAAAACAAATGCGTGTAGTGGTTTCCTGCAATTGGGTTTTTTTTAAGTGTCTTTGTGCGTGAAATGGTTTTCCTCTTACCAACTGAATCGTTTGTGGAGGCAGTATTACCCATGTTTAACGGTTAGTACAATAAAACAAACACTGCAATTAGACAAACAAACATGTACTCGCAACAAAATCAGCGCCCTGGCCAAAAAATCATCCAGTTTAATTTAGTCCGAAATTACGGAAACGTCAACGGGAGCACTGAAATATCTGTTTAATATGGGCTCTTCTCAGCCATATTCAATCTGTTGATGAGCAATAAACTACCTTATTCTCAATCAAAACCACTATGCAAATGTAGTGGTAAAATTGCTCAACCGACCGAGAGCAGAGATTTTTAAATTAATTCAGTACTTATTTTTTTTAATTAATTTTTTTTTTAAACAACATCCAATTCAATAATCCGTTAGTTTATTAAACACAGTGTGAATGTAATATTCTGCCACCACCCTTCCCATTTAATAGCTCAATTTAGTTCTTGAGCTTATGGTGTGATTAACAGAAAATACAAGTCTGTGTTCTTAAACATTCCTCGTGTGCCGTTCACCACAGGGGGGAGGGGAATTCGCCCTCCCTCGTGCAGGTTTGAGCAGACACCCGAAAACGGATTGGTCTGATTTAAACCCGTTGAAATCTCCAGAATTCGGCAATTTGTTTCAATTACAAATCCTCACATTGCTTTTTGAAACAGAGGTTCCACCCTGCTGATGCTTTCCTTAAGGTCTCTCCGAATATTTGCAGTGTGTGATTGTCCAGTAATTTAATTCTAGAAAACACACACAGCGGAAATCGTTAAAAGTCGATGTTCCGAGGTTATTTATTAGCCCCAAATATTCTTATTGTTTTATACATGAGCTGTGCTTGCTTTTGTTGGCACTTGCCCCAGCAGCAATCACAGGAAAAACCGGCCAGGATAGAATCCCCCTCAGACACCGATTCCTCAGGTTATGATTAAGCCTTCAAATGTACAGTGGAGAGACCAAAACAAATTGCACTCGCGCAGTTTCACAAGTAATTTTGATACCGTCAATCACAGAGTCTGGTAAGGCAGTTGTTCAAATAGATTTGAAAAAAAGCACTTACCAGTCTTCTGAAGAAATCTCGGTATCCTGTTCAGTGACGCCAAATTGTGAAGGTAAACTTCTGTTGTTGCAATGTTGAGGTAGAATGAAGGAGTCTGGAACGTCGATTAGCCAAAGCACTGAGAGTTTATTGATCACAGTACATTAATTACATACGGCCGGGAGATCATCTTAGTTTCCCACCGTCCCGTGGTCCACCTTGCTTATCTCTGCCCCCAAAGCCACAAACATCGCTGCTACACGAGGAGAGGCCGGCTCACAGAAAGCCCGGGTTTACCTAATCAATAGCCGATGGAAGACAATGAACTACTTGTCTCAAAGAGATCCAGACAAGCCTCAACCCTCCCCACGGATATAGGAGAAGCGTTTGACCTGTGACCTCAACTTACAGAGGAGTCCTTGAGTGACTACAAGCAGATGTTTGCAGTATCACAGATTCTAAGAAACAATAAGAAGCTCTATAAACAGATCAGATTAAAATATTCTCTTACACTTAGCAAACTTGACCCCAACAAACCTGCAGGTCTTGATGGGCTAGACCCCTTCTTTTTTAAAGTTGCAGCCCCGATTATTGCAGAAGCTATCTCCCACCTTTGTAATCTGTCCATACAGACATCAGTGATACCTTCTGCCTGGAAGGCAGCCTTAGTGCAACCTTTGTTTAAAGGGGGAAACCATGCTGACCCCAACTGCTATCGTCCAATATCCATTCTACCCTGTATAGCGAAAGTGTTCGAAAAGTTAGTTTGCAAACAGCTAACATGGTTTCTGAAGACTTACAACATACTATCTGACATGCAGTCTGGGTTCCGTGCAGGACATGGGTGTGAGACGGCGACTCTCAAAGTCCTAAATGATATCATCAATGCCCTTGACTCCAGACAGTACTGTGCTACCCTTTTCATCGATCTTGCCAAAGCCTTCGACACTGTAGATCACCAACTGCTTCTGGGAAAGCTTAGATGCATTGGTGTCACTAACCAATCGATAGCCTGGTTTGAAAACTACCTGTCCATGCGCACCAGTGTGTAAAATTGGAAAATCTGATGACACAGCCCCTATCCATCTCTAAGGGAGTACCACAAGGCTCTATTCTAGCACCCATCCTATTCTCAATATATATAAATGGCATGGAGAAATCAGTGGGCAACTCCTCTATCCACCTATATGCTGATGACACGATTCTGTACACTGCTGGCCCTTCCCCGGATACTGTCCTGAAAACTCTTCAGGATAGTTTTCAGAGAATCCAGTCCCATCTCTCTGCCCTTGGCCTGGTCCTGAACACTACTAAAACCAAGATCATGTGGTTTGGCCGCAGTGGTGCCTCCCAAACTGGCACTATTGTGACCGCCGATGGCCGGGACCTCGAAATAGTTCTACCTTATAAAAACTTGGATTTTGGATTGACAGTAATCTGTCATTCTCAGAACATCTCTCCAAAATTCAGACCAAGGTTAAAGCTAGACTCAGCTTTCTGTATAGGAATCGCTCCTCATTCACTTCATCTGCTAAACTCTCTCTGGACCAGATGACTGTCCTTCCTCTGTTCGACTACGGTGATACCATCTACCGCTCGGCGTGTAAAGGAGCTCTCGATCATTTAGACGTTCTGTATCACTCCGCCATCTGCTTCGCCACCAATGCCCCCTACAGGACACACCATTGTGACCTGTACTCTCTGGCTAACTGGCCCTCTCTTGAGACCAGACGCAACATCCACTGGCTGATGTTTGTTTACAAAACACTCCTAGGCCTCACCCCCTTCTACCTCACACAATTACTGCAAATCCGCCCACCCCTGACGCACAACACCCGGTCAGCTACAAGCATCCTGTTAAAGATCCCCAAAGCCCATACATCCTTTGGCCGCTCCGCCTTTCAATTTGCAGCAGCAGATAGCTGGAATGTCTTTCAAAAAACGTTGAAAATGAAAACCTTTGTCTTCCCCCGCACCTTCAATGTCACTATTATTGACACCCTGGTACACACATGTAGCTGCTTTGCCTGATGCTGATTTTAATGACTGATTGAACCACAGCAATATTGTTTTAGAGTTTTTATATGTTTAACTGCTATGCCTGTCATCTTTGCTCTATGTGTTTGTGTTGTCTCCTGGGTTCTGTAGTGCCCGGAGTCTGTCTTTTTATTTTTTTCCTCCCAAACCCCATCCCCTCAGGAAGCCTTTGCCTCCTGTCAGTTCATCATTGTAAATAAGAATTTGTTCTTAATTGATTTTCCTGGATAAATAAAGGTTCTACTACTACTAGAGGGGAATTATTGAAACGGGATGTGTACAGTGTTCCGCGGCATCTGCTGCTGCGAAAATGTGGAGCAGGGCTGTAAAGTGGGGGGGCCAATGCTTCCGGCGCCCTTGAATCATAGATAACACGGCAGGGTCCGTTACAGTTTGTTTTCATCTGATTTCAATTAAACAAATGGTTAGGGTTAGTTAGTTACTATGGGCCCCGGTGCGTTGCACCGGCTGCACCATCGATAGTTACGCCACTGTATGTAATTCAATCAGGAGAGACAAGTTTTCTTTTGATACAACGATATAAATGTATTGCCGGGAATACACAGATGCATACAGGTGTTTGGCGATTAGACCCCGCTGGAATATCATTCGGGAGGGGGAAAATCGAACCGATGAAACCCCCCCTGGGGTCTAGACACTTGTGGTGGTGGAGGCATGAAGGGATTGATGGAGGTTGGTCTGAAGAGGAGTAGTTTAAGCTTGACCCTGGATTTGGAAGAAAGGAAGGTGGAAGTGGGGGAGGAGGGCTGCATTGAGTCAGCTGAAATGACAACTGTGAGGAAGGGAATAGAGGCGAAGTGGTTTAGCTGTTGATCACTGATTGAGAGGAGAGAGAGTAGTAAACTGGGAATATGTGAATGAATGAGTAAAGATGGTCTTCCTGGTTGAACTTGCGCTAAGCTTCATATGTTGTTTTTTCAGCTTGTGGCCATCAAATCAATTCATGCTGCTTTAAGTTAATACCTGACATGTTTGGTTTTCCATTATACATAAAAACATCTCCTCATGTAATGTTGTGTCTCTGCTTGGTTTCCTAAGTATGGCATGACTCCCCTGATGCATGCAGCCTATAAGGGCAAGGCGGACATGTGTCGTCTGCTGCTGCAGCATGGGGCCAACGTCAACTGCAACCAGCACGAATACGGATACACTGCTCTCATGTTTGCTGGCCTGTCAGGTAAAACTGTGAAGTCAGGTTTTCAGCTTACATTGGATGTTCTTTTGTAGGCCTATTATTACATCTGATTTAACTAGGAAAGCAGTAGGCAACCCACGGCCCTTGAGCTACATGTGGCCCTTCATCCGCTCTGCCTTGGCTCAATGTGGCTTTCACAAAGTAGTACATAGTAATGAATAAAAGCTAAAGCTCCTCTTTTTTTTGCACAGTGGACAAACTTTACTTGATGGCAGGGGAAAATGGCTCTTTTGATTGTAAAGGTTGCTGACCCCTGAACTAGACTGTCATTAACGTTTCAGGGAGGACAGATATCACCTCCATGATGCTGGATGCAGGCGCAGAGACAAACCAAGTGAACTCTGTGGGTCGCACTGCGGCTCAGATGGCAGCGTTTGTTGGTGAGACTAGCTGAGATTGTCTGTCAGGTGACTGTGGGGGGGTTCATGTTAACCTGTGCTCTCTCCTCACAGGCCAGCACGACTGTGTCACAGTGATCAATAACTTCTTCTCGCTCGCAAAGCTGGAGTTCTACACCAGGCCACATGGGCTGGAGAGGGAGCCCAGGCTGCCCCCCACACTGGCGGGCCCCCTGCACAGGATCATCATGACCACCAACCTCAACCCGGTCAAGGTGAGGCTTCCTCACAGGTCTACTGAGGATGGCAGCACTAATGGGGAAGTTAAGTGCAAAGTCATTAGGTTTCAAGCTCTGGAAATGCTGAACATGCATCCCACATGAAATGGCTATCCATCCAAACGATGGGAGCAGCACTACATCACTGCACCTCAAAAGACGGCCCCGCCTACTTTTCGGTGAAAACAAAGAATTGGCGCGAAGCGTTAAAATGTAGTTTCATAATGTCATTACAACAAAAATGATCCAAAACGTAGGTTTTTGGGAAACACTTCCTCACGGCTACATAATGATGCTAATGAGGCTAATGTCAATCACCACAGTTAACATTGGTGTTTAAAGTCAAGGTAATGAACCACTGACAATCAAAGGAAAATGCCAGATTAAGAGTTATCCACTGTTAGATAGAAATGTAAAATATCAATCCACTATAGCTTTAATTTCACCATATTATATTGATTGCCTGACTGACCATCATATTTGGGCTTCGTGTAGATACAACATTTATGGTTAATTTTTTGATAAAAAATAATTAATTAATTAATTGATATTTCAATTTTTTTTATTTGATTGGCAAAGACCTTCAAATCTATATTTAGAGCCGGTAAAAAGACACCAGATATTTTTCACCCAAAAAGATGTGAGGCCATGACAAAGAGGGAAAGCACCCAGATGGGTTGCTCTCATACCTTGGCTGTACCTGCCAAGAAATTAAGAAAATACATTATTATTGAGTATAAAGAGTTTTTTTTAACGCTTATTACATTTTTCCAAAATACTTAAAGCTGCTCTGCACTCAGCTTCAATGTAACATAACATCATTCATAATTATGGTGTTCAGTTGCATTTCTATCCTATTGAATAATTCACATATTATTGGTGCCCAGAGGATGAACCATATCTTTAGTGATCTGCTGACCTACTACACTTTCCCCTCCGCCTGTCCCAGATAGTGTTGCTGGTGAAGGAGAACCCTGTGCTGGTGAACGTGGCAGCTCTGGAGAAGTGTCACCAGGTGATGGACTTGCTGTGTGAGCAGTGTGTGAAGCAGCAGGACATGAATGAGGTCCTGGCGATGAAGATGCACTACATCAGCTGTGTGCTCCAGAAATGCCTGGCCTTCCTGCAGAAACGAGATGACAAGCTGGACGCACTTGTCAAGAGGTGAGGCTTCTGAGTGGAATGAGTCTATAGAGGCAGCAGCACTCCCATTATTTCCCCAACCCTTTGCCTTAGGATCATTTGTTAACAACGTTCTAAAATGTTGTGCACAAAGAATTGTACACTTTGAGAAAGCTTTATTTGCACAAGCAAGAGAACATGTCGAATCTGGAGGATTGTTCTCACTTGTTGGGTGTATTTCTGGTAACACAAGTGGTGTAGTTTGGACCTGCGACACGCCTAATATTATATATAATTGAATGGAGAATAGAAAAGCAATTGTTGCTCCTGCTTTGCTGCAGTGTAGCTTACTGCACTAGTTGTCAAAAAAAGTATTGTAAGTATGTATTGTTTGCGAGGGGTGTTTAAAGGTCCCATGTCATGCTTTTCCGGTTATAGAGAACCGCAGTGACACATCCTGTTAGAGCCATTTTACCTTTTGTTATTATTGTCTGAATGTTGGGCTTAATAATAATATAAATTAGATTATACTGTAAATTATCGGCTATTTTTGTGAGTCACATTATGGTTTAAAATGCATTAATTTAAGGCTCACTTATTATTTGTTATATGTGCGTCAGTATCACGTGCATGGCTATGCCTATATATGGTAGGTTGATAGGACACAGCTGAGGGTGATAGACGGGGAAATGGAAAAGTCTTTTGACCGTGTTCTTTTTGTTACTTTGGAAAATGATACACTTTTGAGTTACTATGAAGCGAAGAAATGTGTCCTCCTGTATGCACCGTGTGGATCAGTGAATAAAGCTCATCTGATTCAACTACGATCTCCGCTGAATTGTTTGGAAACAAAGAGAGGCGCGTCAAAACCCACAACCCCGATAGAGGTGGCTATTAAATGGTAGACAAGGATTAAAACGCCACCACAATAGTCAAAAGACTCCGTAAACTGTGGATAAAGACTTCGAAGGACAAGCACAGGATTCGTGTGGATTTCAGCTCTGCTTTGGAAACAGCGAACGGACGTTCTAAAGTGCCGAGGAGGAGGCCGTGAGTAAACCACGCCGGCCCGGAATTTATGAAAGAGACGCTGTTTACAACGGGATCGCTTCGTCAAACAATGCAAGTACTGATGTGTGCATAGTTACGGATGTTTGACAAAACGAAACGGGAAATCCATCCAGTGATATCCTGATGCTTACTGAAGATAATCCGCAATTGCTGTTGGAATGCTTAAACAATGAAATGCATTAACGAACTATCACGCAGCCAGGAAGCGGACGTTAAAGGAATATTTGGCACAAAAACAGGATTCGCGAAGAGCTGTTCTTGGAAATATTAATGACTTTATTTCATGTGGATTAAGTGAAGAAAAACTCAAATAAACAATGGATCCTGATATACCTCCAGCTGATGTTGCCGCGGCAGAGGAGAGATATAAAACTCTCAGCCAATCGCGAAGAGGAAAACTTGGAGCATGCACCCGCAGAATGGATGAAATTAACCCATTACTGGTGCGAGGTGGAAATATGGGAAAGGTGGATGAAGCTGTTGCAACGTTCAAGATGTTACTCAATGAATTTATGGAATGTCATGGAATTGTTCAAATGCTTTTATCTGAGGAAATAAGGGAAACTGAGAGAATAGATTGGTATGAACCAAAAATGTTCCTTAAGGATGTGGAAACGTGGAAAAGCTCTCAAATGGATCCTCAGATACTGATTGAACCCCATGACAGTGTTTCCAATGCATCAACCAGGAGGAGCTCAAAAGCAGGATCAGCAACTTCTTCTGCTTCTTCAATCCACCTCAAAATGGCCACAGAAAGAGCTGCCCTCCTTGCCCGTGCAGCAGGATTAAAGGAAAAGCATGCACTTGAAATGGAAAAGGCTCAACTGCAAGCTAGATCCGAACGGATAGAAATGGAAGTCAGCCTAGCTGAATCTGATGCAAAAATGAAAGTCCTGGAGCACTTTGAGACTGGTTCACAAAATCCAACACAAGGAAGATATGATGGCATGAATGACTATTTAAAGGACTACAGATTAAATGACATTGTTAATTTACTTGTACTTCAACAAAAACAAGCATCACTGCCCACTAGGGAAATCCCAGTCTTTGATGGCAATCCCCTGAATTATCAAATATTTGTGAGGGCATTTCAACATAGCATTGAGGAGAAAACCACCAGTAACCAGGATCGATTATATTACCTGGAACAATATACTTCGGGATCCTGCAGGGAACTGGTGAGAAGCTGCCTTCACATGGATGCTAATAGTGGCTTTGCTGAAGCTAAGAGACTGCTAAAAGTGCATTTTGGAGATGAGCTCAAGATAGCAAGCGCATATATGGGAAAAGCTCTCAACTGGAACACTATAAAGGCAGAGGATGGAAAGTCACTGCACTGTTATGCACTTTTTCTGAGAGGCTGCTGTAATGCAATGAGGGATCTGCAGAACATGGAGGAGCTGGACCTGCCATCCAACCTACGGCTCATTCTTTCAAAGCTACCTTACAAACTAAGGGAGAAGTGGAGAACAGCAGCTTGTGATATTCTGGAGCGGAGCCATGAAAGAGCAAGATTACCTGACCTTGTTGTATTTATTGAAAGACAAGCTAGAATACTTCAAGACCCTCTCTTTGGTGACATTCCCGATCAACTTAACAGTACAAAGGCGGCTTTCAAGACCAAGACTTTGATGGACTTGATCCATATCGAAATAAGAGCAAAGGGAGCAGTTTTGCAACCACAGTGGCTATAGTGTCAGACAGGCGTGCAGAGAAACTCAAAGAAGACAAATATCCTGTTAAAAGCTACATTTCCTCCACTAACAATGACACCTCATGTACTTTTTGTACAAGTAAACATCCTTTAGCTGAATGCCATAAAATACATTCAGTATCTCATGAAGCTAAAATTGAGTTTCTGAAAGAGAAGGGACTATGCTTTGGCTGCCTGAAGGTGGGGCACTTGAGCAGGAACTGTAACAGGAGAATGACCTGTCAAATCTGTCATGCTAAGCACCCAACTATTCTGCACATTAAAAGATCTTCAAAGCCTGAAACTGAGAACTTTAAACATGGTAAGGCAGAGCAGCAGAGTGGGGGAGCAAGGCCTGATGAGACATCCATCAGCAGTGCTCTTGTTTCAGTAGGAGAAGGTGAAGGAATCGGGGCTGGTAAAGACAGCATACTTGCCATAGTGCCAGTGAAGGTGAAACTCTGCCATGGAAATAAAAGCATACTGACCTATGCATTCCTGGACCCTGGTAGTACCGACACATTTTGCACAGAAGGGCTCATGAGGCGGCTTGGTGCTAGAGGACGGAGAACTGAAGTCCTTCTTCAAACGATGGGAACAGAGAAAACAGTCAGGAGTTTTGAGGTAACGGGTCTAGAAGTGGGACATATGGAAGATGGCACATATATAAACTTGCCCAAGGTTTACACTCAGAACAAAATCCCTGTTACCAAAAGAAACATTCTCACCCAGGCGGACCTCAAGAAATGGCCTTATCTGCAGGACATCCAAATAAAAGAAATAGATGCTGACGTGGGACTTCTTATTGGAGTAAATACTCCAAAGGCTATGGAACCATGGAGAGTTATAAATAGCCAAGGAAATGGCCCATATGCAGTGAAAACACTGTTAGGATGGGTCGTTAATGGTCCACTTAATGCTTCCACAGATCTGGATGATGAAACCCCCGTGGCATTAGTGAACAGGATCTCAATTGTTCACCTTGAGAAGCTAATTGAAAGACAATATATTAACGACTTTCCAGAGAAAGAGTATGAAGAGGAAAGACAAATGTCAGCTGATGACCGAAAGTTCATGCAGATTGTATCAAGCTCGGTTTCTCTTAAAGATGGCCACTACAATTTACCTCTTCCTCTAGATAATCCAAACATTATCATGCCAAACAACCGCCAAATGGCAGAGCAACGAGCAATGACACTAAAAAGGAAATTCCAGAAGGATCAGACCTATGCAGCTGAGTATCAAGGCTTTATGAGTGACATTATCAAAAAAGGATATGCAGAGAAAGTACCATCGGACGATCTACATGTGGAAAACGGCAAAGTGTGGTATATACCCCATCATGGTGTCTATCATAAACGTAAAAAAACGATCCGTGTGGTCTTTTATTGTGCATCATCCTATAAAGGCAAATCCCTCAACAGTGTACTCCTTCAGGGCCCTGACTTGGCAAACTCATCGATTGGTGTTCTACTCAGGTTCCGTCAAGAGCCCATCGCCATTATGGCAGATATTGAGGGGATGTTTCACCAAGTGCGTGTAAACGAGGAGAACATAAACTTGCTGAGATTCCTGTGGTGGCCTGAAGGAGAAACCAGCACAAATCTGGAGGAATACCGGATGAGGGTCCATCTCTTCGGAGCTGTTTCCTCTCCAAGCTGCGCAAACTTTGCATTGCGAAGAACAGCTGAGGACAACTGTGGCAAATTTGATGGAGAAGTGGCAGAAACAATCAAATCAAATTTCTATGTGGATGATTGCCTCAAGTCGCTAGCAAGAGAAAATCAAGCTATAAGCCTTATTAGGTCTCTCAGAGAAATGTGTTCCCTTGGTGGATTCAAACTGACGAAATGGATAAGTAATAGTCGAGTGGTGCTAGCATCCATCCCTGATGAAGACAAGGCTAAACAGGTGAAAAACTTGGATCTGGATAAGCTGCCACATGAAAGAGCACTAGGGATGTACTGGGACATTGAAAATGATATATTCAGTTTCCGTGTGACTGTGAACAACAAAACCCTTACAAGAAGGAGTATACTTTCCACTGTCAGCTCTGTGTACGATCCTCTTGGTCTTCTCGCCCCTTTCATATTGAAGGCAAAGCAAATACTTCGATTACTCTGTAAAGCCCAATATGGATGGGATGAAGAAATTCAGGTGGAACTCTCAAAACCATGGCAGAAATGGCTCAAGGATTTAGACCAGCTGGCAAGATTCCAAATTGACAGGTGTGTAAAACCCAAGAACTTTGGAAGAGTGAAAACTGCACAGCTACACA